AACGAGGGCAGGCAGGTCGTTGTAGGGGCGACGCCTGCTGGTGGATGTAATGTCCTAAGTCCCTTCCCCAGCTAATAATGAGGGTACTGCTGGGGTGACCGTTTATTAACCCTCATATAATTCTTCCGGTCAAAATAGACGCTAGGTACGGCCACCTTTTTTTTTTTTTTTTTTTTTTTTTTAAAGCCGTGGCAAATATTTTTCCAGACGGTGGCCGTTGCATTTTTGCTCCATTTGTAGACTGGAAGGATGTAGTTTCGTCGCCCAGCTTCTGAGTTGAGTGCATGGCGTGACACTGTGAGCTGCGTTTGTTTTTCGTTGGCACAGGAGCGGAGCAAGTGTGGGGTGACCCGTTTGCTATGAAGCTGAAACTAGGATTACCAGATTACCAGATTACCAGAACACTACTGTCATATCATTAGTTTCATCTTTTCTGTCGCCATAAATACTTCCTTGCAAATAAAAAAAGTCTTGCAAATGAAAAAAGCCCAAAATCGGTGAAAGGGCTTTGAAAAAAACCTCCTTTTTTTAAAAACCCAACTTTACAGAAAGGCCGGATTTCTCTAATCAGGCCCATAAAAAGCCAAACTGGCAACCCTTCTCCCAACAGGTACACACCATACCAATCGGCCATTGTGGGGTGAGCAATCATGGGGTCATATGGTTCACAGTGCTCACGCTGATGGATACATGATGCTTCAAACTTGTCTTTGCCTCCTCTTCCATTCCAGCATTTCCTCAAATAGTGTATTCGCTTGTATCAGGTTGCTTCAATTAGTTGCTTTATCACCTCGCCAGTACAGATGCAAGAGCGGTGCTTCAGGCAGTCCAATCTGGAAAACTACCTGGTATACGAACACTATTCTCCAAACTAGGCAGCCGGTGTAAGCTAGCTATGCAATGGATACCATCCCACTGTGGAGTTCCTGGAAATGAAAGAGCTGATAAACTAAGAAAAGAGCAAATGAAGAACAACCTGATGTACTAGTCTGAGAATAATCAAATCAATCAGAAAGCCACCAAAACAATTACCATTTTATGAACAGACCGAAGCAAGTTATTATTCTACGCCTTAGAAAAGGACACAACGACTTCACAGCCACATGTACACAACATTTAAAATCAACAAATCAGCCATGTGTACATGTGGATTGGCACCTGAAACAACAGATCACGTCCTCCAAAATTGTCCCAAATACAACATGTCAAGGCAAAACTTTTGGTCACGAGAAACACCGGTACAAGCCAAACTTTACGGGTTGCTGAGTGAAAGAAGAAAACCTCGCTAGCAGCTAATTTGAGAGATGAGTTGAGTGGGGAGAGGGGTGCCACATTTTTTTTTTTACAAACTGGCACAAAAGCCTTTTTTTTTTAATGCCATGATGATACAGAGCTGGCCAGTATTGAACACTGGTGACCACACACAAGTATAATCCTTCCAGTGGTCAGACAAAAATGTGACTTGTTGGAGATACACCAGTGAAGTGATTGTGTGTGGTCTTGTACATTGTAAATGTATTATGTGTTGATGAAGGCTCTCTAACCACAATGTTTTCTTGTCGTTTGTGATACTGTGAAGCCTAGGGGTTCTGCTTTTCGTTTATTTTGATACATTTTCTTGAAGTATGTGTGTGGGAGTTCACATTCACTGAGCCTGGAGTATGTGTGTGTGGGTGTACACCACCACTTAGTTTGGAGTATGCATACATGCCCTGTGTCTAACACAATCAACAGTCAGTCTGAAACATTACACCAGAGAGTCGAGACTTCCCTCATCTCAAACTCCCATGATAAGTATACGACCCCAGTCAAACAGAATCATACAATGATGAAAAGCAGTATGTGTGACATCACATACATCAGTCTGAGTGTCTTCACACACAAATCAAATTGAAAAAAAAAACCAAAGTTTATAAACAACTAAAATAAAATGTTTAATAGAAATGGTCCATTAAAATGTGTCATCAAAATCAAATAAAATACAATCTGACATCCAACGAGTTAAAAATGGTCTTCTAGATATAGATGATGATGTAATAAAATAACAGAATGTCAACAGGCAAAAAACGTTTGGCTAACAGACAGCAGAAAACTGGCAAGTCACCTGATGTGACCATGACACTGACAATACTAGCAGGTAGCAACTAAGAGTTATTGATATGTGCTAACATGTGTGCGTTTAACATAAGAAATACATGCTGCTGTAGTTCCATGGGCTAGGACTATGTACAGTGCACCAATGTAGCTGCGCAAGCACACAGGAATAAGTTACAGAGAAACTATAACATCCATACACATCAGTATATATTGGCAGGTACATGTTATGTGTATGCCTGGTAACTGTCAGGACCTGTAGCAATCATGTTATGAGTTATGATCTGCGTTATCTTCACGGCACTCCAGACACGTCCATAGGTTGTCAGATTCCCCTTTCAACATATACATCAGCGTCCCGCGGATGATGGTCCCAGTCCTATGTTTGTGACAAGACTTCTCATGTCCTCAGGTGTGCTTCTCGTGCCTGGCTGTGACGATCTTCACTCCCAATTCTTGCACTATTAGCAGATATGTGGATGTTCTGCTCCGCCAAACGTCCTACCTCTCTAATGGTGTTAACAATGTCGGCATGATACATGGGCTGTCCGCCCCGCTGTAACAAAAGCAGAGCCAGCTAATCTGTCTGTTCTTATGCTCTGGGACAAACATGAAGGTAACTCTATGGACAGTGGAGTTTTGCTTTGACCCGCCGGATCATACTCATGGAATCATGTGTAAACATTCATGGGTATTTGGATAAAACAATACTTGCTGTGTTGCCCAGTTCCCTCCCCAATTAACTGTCTGACCCACAAAATTTTTTTTCAAGTGGTTGAACTCTCTGACCCCAAGAAGATGAACAAATCCCTGTATAGCAGATATTGTGCCTCTGTTGCTTTAGCCAATCCCTGTTAACCAGCACTGCTTGTTTGTGCTTGTTGAAAGTTTGGAAGGCCCTGACTTGATTATATTGAATAAAGACAGATTTGTGGCTTGTTAATGTCAACAACAACAACAACAACTACAACAACAACAAAAAAAAAGCTAATCTTGAAGTCATAATAAAAAATTCAGCCTTGTCAGGTCACTCACTGACAGCGTCACTATATTTGTTGTTTGAAAGAATGACAGATGGAATTCTCAGTTTTGTTTGTTTGACTGGTTACTAACTCTCTAATATTCCAGAACCAGTTTTCAACAACCATGAATTTCAACAAACTGTTTAGTGACCTGTTAAAATGGTTGTTTTTCTCTCAAGAATTCCCAGTTCTAGTTTTCCCCAAGTTGTTTCCTGGGGTGAAGGGGTTCAGTTCCATGCCAAAAGCTAACAATCCTGCTCCTCTTAGTGATAGAACAATGTGTGACTGCAACAATCACAAGAGAACATTTATGGCAAACAAATCTATGCAACAGATTTTACAATGTCTGCCCAATGGCCACCTCAAAGCCAGAATAATAGGGGTTCTGTTGCCCAGGTCGGGCTCTACATCTGAGACATGTTCCCAGGTCAGGCTCTACATCTGAGACATGTTCCCAGGTCAGGCTCTACATGTGAGACATGTTCCCAGGTCAGGCTCTACATGTGAGACATGTTCCCAGGTCAGGCTCTACATGTGAGACATGTTCCCAGGTCAGGCTCTACATCTGAGACATGTTCCCAGGTCAGGCTCTACATCTGAGACATGTTCCCAGGTCAGGCTCTACATGTGAGACATGTTCCCAGGTCAGGCTCTACATCTGAGACATGTTCTCATTGGACCAGTGACCCACAGACAACAAGCTGCTGAATGGACTCCAAAGGGATGAACAAAGTCACACAAGCGTGGCCGGTACATATCTGAGCAGCTGTGTACACGCCTCGTACAGACTGCAGACACTGGCCAGAGATGGTCGATGGGTGGGCTGGCACTGACCAGCTGGGCTGTGAGGAGGCTGATAGACTGGACATGTCAGACATTGTCTCAACAATGTATAGACAAATACACACAAATCACAGACACCAAGAATAAACAAGGACATGTATGCTGTACACTTGGTCCCCGACATCAGCTGGAAATGTTCATCTAGTTAGGTAGCAAATAAAAGGCAATCAGATCAACTCAGGAAATGTTCATCTAGTCAGGTAACAAATAAAAGGCAATCAGATCAACTCAGGAAATGTTCATCTAGTCAGGTAACAAATAAAAGGCAATCAGATCAACTCAAACAGATCAGTTACAAATAAACTCCCACAGCTTTGTTCTCATGTGGCACTGACATGTTGGCACTAAAAACAAATGACAAAAGTCTCATTAAAAATCAAAACATTTAAAAACATTTAAAAAAATTTAAATTGTATAATTTTGGTCTACTTCATGTTGGTGGCTGTTTTGTCGAACTCCCTCACGCCTAAAACTGGGCTGACATGTGTGTAGATGTCATTAGATAACAAGGTGGCAATGCCACTAAACAAACATATCTACTTTAGCCCTGACATTGCCAGGCAATGACAATCTTCTTTAATGTGTCCACAACAAGCTACAAATACAGGCTGAATTTAACATTAGACCCGCACATCAACTTGATCCATTTAGTTCCTGTGTGGGACCACACAGGTGGGGAAAACAAGATTCTAACAGACACGCACATGAACTGGATCTATTTAGTTCCTGTGTGGGACCACACAGGTGGGGAAAACAGGATTCTAACAGACAAAGAGTAGAAACCTGCACCCACAAACTATTTCTCATGCCTGGGGGAAGTCAAAACTTGGCTGTCATCACAGTGGGAACTATTAGAATATGCTACAAGTAGGGCAGATGCATAGCTGGCTGTATCAGGCGACACACTACTGCTACACTCCAGGTTAACATCAATCACAGATTCATACACAATGTGATCCACTCACAATTCTGTCTGCACACAACATCAACAGAGTACATTCAGCAGTTCTGTCCGCGCCCCCCACCATCCCATGGCTTCAGTTAACTGGCCTGGTAGACCTCGGTCAAGTCTTGTGCGTTCTGGCTGTAGTCTCTGGCCATCAGGCAGGCAAAGATGGTCATGATCATCTTCTGCTTCAGCTCCACCAGATCCTCCGGCAGGGCGTAGACTCTAGCGCCAATCTTTCTGGCAATCCCAATAGCATACCTGGCATTTGCCAGTTTGTCCTGCAACACACAAAACATAAATATGCTGGTCAATTACAAGAACAATAGCATGCACAACATTTGTTTGATGAATATCAGATCCACAACACAATCCCTGCTCCACACAACACAACCCTGGCTCCACATAACACAACCCTGGCTCCACATAACACAACCCTGGCTCCACATAACACAACCCTGGCTCCACATAACACAACCCTGGCTCCACATAATACAACCCTGGCTCCACATAACACAACCCTGGCTCCACATAACACAACCCTGGCTCCACATAATACAACAAAGGCTCCACATAACACAACCCTGGCTCCACATAACACAACCCTGGCTCCACATAACACAACCCTGGCTCCACATAACACAACCCTGGCTCCACATAATACAACAAAGGCCCCACATAACACAACCCTGGCTCCACATAATACAACCCTGGCTCCACATAACACAACCCTGGCTCCACATAACATAACCCTGGCTCTACATAACACAACCCTGGCTCCACATAACACAACAAAGGCTCCACATAACACAACAAAGGCTCCACATAACACAACCCTGGCTCCACATAACACAACCCTGGCTCCACATAACACAACCCTGGCTCCACATAACACAACCCTGGCTCCACATAACACAACCCTGGCTCCACATAACACAACCCTGGCTCCACATAACACAACCCTGGCTCCACATAACACAACCCTGGCTCCACATAACACAACCCTGGCTCCACATAACATAACCCTGGCTCCACATAATACAACCCTGGCTCCACATAACACAACCCTGGCTCCACATAACACAACAAAGGCTCCACATAACAAAACCCTGGCTCCACATAACACAACCCTGGCTCCACATAACACAACCCTGGCTCCACATAACACAACCCTGGCTCCACATAACACAACCCTGGCTCCACATAACACAACCCTGGCTCCACATAACACAACCCTGGCTCCACATAACACAACCCTGGCTCCACATAACACAACCCTGGCTCCACATAACACAACCCTGGCTCCACATAACACAACCCTGGCTCCACATAACACAACCCTGGCTCCACATAACACAACCCTGGCTCCAGATAATACAACCCTGGCTCAACATAATACAACAAAGGCTCCACATAACACAACCCTGGCTCCACATAACACAACCCTGGCTCCACATAATACAACAAAGGCTCCACATAACACAACCCTGGCTCCACATAACACAACAAAGGCTCCACATAACACAACAAAGGCTCCACATAACACAACCCTGGCTCCACATAACACAACCCTGGCTCCACATAACACAACCCTGGCTCCACATAACACAACCCTGGCTCCACATAACACAACCCTGGCTCCACATAACACAACCCTGGCTCCACATAACACAACCCTGGCTCCACATAACACAACCCTGGCTCCACACAACACAACTCTAGCTCCACACAACACAACACAGGCTCCACACAATACAACAGTCGCTTCATACAATACAACCCTAACTGCATACAACACAACCCTCGCTCCACACAATACAACAGTCGCTCCATACAATACAATATTCACTATCCTAAGAAATAAACTTTAACCCGAGGCTAAACTGACTCACATGTACAAATTTATATTGTGTTTTACAATGCAACTATCACAACACCTGGAAGAAGGCAAACATTTTCTGCAGGGGTCACCCCTCTATACAGCCAGCTAAGACAGATACACGCCTCTCTATAAGCCAGCTAAGACAGATACACACATCTCTATACAGCCAGCTAAGACAGCAACACACCTCTCTATACAGCCAGCTAAGACAGATACATAATTCTCTATACAGCCAGCTAAGACAGATACACACATCTCTATACAGCCAGCTAAGACAGATACACACATCTCTATACAGCCAGCTAAGACAGATACACACATCTCTATACAGCCAGCTAAGACAGATACACACATCTCTATACAGCCAGCTAAAACAGCCACACGCCCCTCTATACAGCCAGCTAAGACAGATACACACATCTCTATACAGCCAGCTAAGACAGCAACACACCTCTCTATACAGCCAGCTAAGACAGATACATAATTCTCTATACAGCCAGCTAAGACAGATACACACATCTCTATACAGCCAGCTAAGACAGATACACACATCTCTATACAGCCAGCTAAGACAGATACACACATCTCTATACAGCCAGCTAAGACAGATACACACATCTCTATACAGCCAGCTAAAACAGCCACACGCCCCTCTATACAGCCAGCTAAGACAGATACACACATCTCTATACAGCCAGCTAAGACAGATACACACATCTCTATACAGCCAGCTAAGACAGATACACGCCTCTCTATACAGCCAGCTAAAACAGCCACACGCCCCTCTATACAGCCAGCTAAGACAGATACACACATCTCTATACAGCCAGCTAAGACAGATACACACATCTCTATACAGCCAGCTAAAACAGCCACACGCCCCTCTATACAGCCAGCTAAGACAGATACACACATCTCTATACAGCCAGCTAAGACAGATACACACATCTCTATACAGCCAGCTAAGACAGATACACACATCTCTATACAGCCAGCTAAGACAGATACACACATCTCTATACAGCCAGCTAAGACAGCAACACACCTCTCTATACAGCCAGCTAAGACAGATACATAATTCTCTATACAGCCAGCTAAGACAGATACACACATCTCTATACAGCCAGCTAAGACAGATACACACATCTCTATACAGCCAGCTAAGACAGATACACACATCTCTATACAGCCAGCTAAGACAGATACACACATCTCTATACAGCCAGCTAAAACAGCCACACGCCCCTCTATACAGCCAGCTAAGACAGATACACACATCTCTATACAGCCAGCTAAGACAGATACACACATCTCTATACAGCCAGCTAAGACAGATACACACATCTCTATACAGCCAGCTAAGACAGATACACACATCTCTATACAGCCAGCTAAGACAGATACACGCCTCTCTATACAGCCAGCTAAAACAGCCACACGCCCCTCTATACAGCCAGCTAAGACAGATACACACATCTCTATACAGCCAGCTAAGACAGATACACACATCTCTATACAGCCAGCTAAAACAGCCACACGCCCCTCTATACAGCCAGCTAAGACAGATACACACATCTCTATACAGCCAGCTAAGACAGATACACACATCTCTATACAGCCAGCTAAAACAGCCACACGCCCCTCTATACAGCCAGCTAAAATAGATACACCAGCCACAGAATCAATTCTAGATTCCCAGCGGTGTGCCACTAAAGAAGAATAGAACAAGTGGTGTGAACACAGGATGCCATGAGAGGGTGAATTCATCACAGACTGTGTCCACAAGCAGGAGAATTTATGCTTACATATGTGTAGTACATATAAGGGAAGCAGACAGTGTCCACAAGCTGGAGAATTTATGCTTACATATGTGTAGTACATATAAGGGAAGCAGACTGTGTCCACAAGCTGGAGAATTTATGCTTACATATGTGTAGTACATATAAGGGAAGCAGACAGTGTCCACAAGCTGGAGAATTTATGCTTACATATGTGTAGTACATATAAGGGAAGCAGACAGTGTCCACAAGCAGGAGAATTTATGCTTACATATGTGTAGTACATATAAGGGAAGCAGACTGTGTCCACAAGCAGGAGAATTTATGCTTACATATGTGTAGTACATATAAGGGAAGCAGACTGTGTCCACAAGCAGGAGAATTTATGCTTACATATGTGTAGTACATATAAGGGAAGCAGACTGTGTCCACAAGCAGGAGAATTTATGCTTACATATGTGTAGTACATATAAGGGAAGCAGACTGTTAGCATATGCACTCACATGACAGCACATTGATGGACACTGGGATAAATGATCTGACCACACCTGACATTGAACATATATTAGAGGACCCTACTGGACATCTACTATATAGGACATCACTGGACAGACTAAAGGAATATAGTTCACACTCTACAGGACCAATGTAAGCTGGGAACACGTGAAATAACCTCACCAAACTCTGAACACATATGAACTCACCTCATATGTCTGTGCGTTCTGGTTGACCAGGCTGTAGTCTACAGACGATGGCTTGATCTTTTCAATCAACTTGATGAGAATGACAGCATCTGCCAAGTTGGGGTCCCCAAAACTGGACAATTTGGCAGATTTGTCCAACTGGTGACAACAAATGTAGGCAACATGAACTCCAAAGTTACAACACTCAAATCATGGCAACAGACGAGGTGGACAGGTGGAGACCTCTACTGGGACTTTCCTTCTGACAAGGCAGCTGTCATGTAGGCTGATATTTTAGAGTGTGTGTAAAATGACGAGGTTGAAGGTACAATGACCAGGTTGAAGAGATACTGCTTCATGCATGATCGACTCAAACACCGGCTGATACCATTCAAGGATAATCATCGCAACAAGTGTTTCAACCTGCTTCAATGGTATGTGCAACCAGGAGGTTCTCAGCTCGGCGCATGAACTTCCAGAGCAGCGACATGGATATGGATATACAATGAATATTCTTGTAATTAATCAAGTCAATGAAGGTTCACAACATGAGGTGATGTGGACATATGGTGCTAACCCTAGATGTCTAAGCCAATCAGTACTTGAAGGCTCTTGCAGTCAATAGCCTGTTGTCTACCTTTACTTTCCAAACAATTTTTTTGTTCCCTCAAAAGGTATTCAAATACGTGAACACGGGTTGAAATGATATGTTAGCATGCACAGAATATTTCTCTGTTTCTTTTTTTTTTTAGGTTCACCAGTTGTAAACTCTTGCAGAGAGTTGTGGTTGTTTGGTCACCTCTGGACTGTGATCTTGCTCCAGCTAGTGCCTTGCCTCTCAGGAAACATCTCAGAACATGTCTGTAGATCCAAGCCTGTACACCTCGCGGCGACTGCCTGGTCAAGCAACACCTCATCGCAACTGCCTGGTCAAGCAACACCCCACAGCCCAGGCACATGCAAGCAAAGCTAAAGATGTTGTCATGAGAAGAAAGGGGTGTCGCCATGGCATAGCGGCTGGACGCTTACATGCGGGTCGGAAGGTTGTGGGATCGCTCCCTGGCGGTGCCGGACTTTTTTTTTCTTCAAACAAATGACCTTGACTCCCAGGTCGACCCAGTCTTGAGTGGGTTCCAAGTGCAGTCCCTGTGTGATGCTGACCACATCACCCATCAAGTGCCGATTGGTCTAAAAATATAAATCTAGCCCTATATGCCTATGCCCTTTGAAAAGGGGAGCTTTACTTTGTTACCTACTGATAAGAAGAAAAAAAATCACATGCAGTGGAAAATGACAGTCAACAAAGAAATACTGACCCTTGTGTTAGCCCACTCCAGGATCAGTCTCTCAGCATTCTTGTTGTCTGCAGATAGTTTACTCAACACAGAAATGGTGTATGCTCTCATCAACTGCCAAACAAGGGCTGAAAGACATGAACATCACTCAAATACTTTTTAGGTCATCAATGATAAACATCATCACAAATACCACAACACACGGGCACTCAGCACTTTATATGTCACCAATGATGAACATCATCACAGATACCACAACACATAGGGCACTCAGCATTTTATATGTCATCAATGATAAACATCATCACAAATACCACAACACATGGGCACTCAGCACTTTATACGTCACCAATGATGAACATCATCACAGATACCACAACACATAGGGCACTCAGCATTTTATATGTCACCAATGATGAACATAATCACATATACCACAACACATGGGCCCTTAGCACTTTATACGTCATCAATGATAAACATCATCACATATACCACAACACACAGGCACTTTATAATGTCCAAAGCCAAAGGCTTCATATCATTGCAGTGGCAGCATTTCTGGGATCTAGTTTACAGTCCAGAAAACCTTCTGGAAACTGAAGTCAAATGCAACAAACAAACAGCCCTACCCTCGCAGGGATTTTAATGCAGGCAAACTATTGTTCATCCTTTACAGTGTACTGACAGACAGAGGTCATGGCAGTAGATGTAGCCCTGAAGTTTTGGAAAAAATCTTTTTGTCTGCAATTTTACCATTATCTGCACAAATGTGTTCAGTTTAATCTGTGCTAACATAACAATGTCACAACTACAAGGCTCAATATGACACAGTATGGTACAACCAAGGAGAATCTGTGCTAACATAACAATGTCACAACTACAAGTCTCAATTTGACACAGTATGGTACAAGCAAGGAGAAGCTGGTCCCATACAACAACTTACCTAGTGTAAGTGTTTGGTTGCCATCTTTGATATCTTTGCCAGCCACCCCGACCAGGGAGAACTCCAGTTTCTGGCCTAGCTGGCAGGCGTAGTTGCAGTTTTCTGTGGAGACAAGGTCATGTGACAGTTACATATGAATGTACTGTTGCTGAAATAGGAATACTCCAGCCAACAACACATCAATGCCATACAACCACACCAAGCCTTAAAGTTATACAGATATATAGCATTGGTTCCATGCCATGAGTGTCATGGGCAGATGTTGCTAGAGTACATTATCTTCACCAGATATACAGCCTCGGTTCTATGCCAGCTAGCTCATGCGCAGATGTTCTAGAGTACATTATCTTGACCAGATATACAGCCTCGGTTCTATGTCAGCTAGCTCATGGGCAGATGTTGCTAGAGTACATTATCTTGACCAGATACACAGCCTTGGTTCTATGCCAGGTAGCTCATGCGCAGATGTTTTAGAGTACATTATCTTCACCAGATATACAGCCTCGGTTCTATGTCAGCTAGCTCATGGGCAGATGTTGCTGGAGTACATTATCTTGACCAGATATACAGCCTCTGTTCTATGCCAGGTAGCTCATGGGCAGATGTTCTAGAGTACATTATCTTCACCAGATATACAGCCTCGGTTCTATGCCAGGTAGCTCATGGGCAGATGTTCTAAAGTACATTATCTTCACCAGATATACAGCCTCGGTTCTATGTCAGGTAGCTCATGGGCAGATGTTGCTAGAGTACATTATCTTCACCAGATATACAGCCTCAGTTCTATGCCAGCTAGCTCATGGGCAGATGTTCTAGAGTACATTATCTTCACCAGATACACAGCCTCGGTTCTATGCCAGGTAGCTCATGGGCAGATGTTCTAAAGTACATTATCTTGACCAGATATACAGCCTCGGTTCTATGTCAGGTAGCTCATGGGCAGATGTTCTAGAGTACATTATCTTCACCAGATACACAGCCTCGGTTCTATGCCAGGTAGCTCATGGGCAGGTGTTCTAAAGTACATTATCTTGACCAGATATACAGCCTCGGTTCTATGTCAGGTAGCTCATGGGCAGATGTTCTAGAGTACATTATCTTCACCAGATACACAGCCTCGGTTCTATGCCAGGTAGCTCATGGGCAGGTGTTCTAGAGTACATTATCTTCACCAGATATACAGCCTTGGTTCTATGCCAGGTAGCTCATGGGCAGATGTTCTAGAGTACATTATCTTCACCAGATACACAGCCTCGGTTCTATGCCAGGTAGCTCATGGGCAGGTGTTCTAGAGTACATTATCTTCACCAGATATACAGCCTTGGTTCTATGCCAGGTAGCTCATGGGCAGATGTTCTAGAGTACATTATCTTCACCAGATACACAGCCTCGGTTCTATGCCAGGTAGCTCATGGGCAGATGTTCTAGAGTACATTATCTTCACCAGATACACAGCCTCGGTTCTATGCCAGGTAGCTCATGCGCAATAGCCCTAGAAGCATAATGCTAGTTAACACAAACTGTTAGCAGCTGGGCCACTCCCAAAAACAGGATAGCCCACTTGCCTTACTGCCCAATGTGCTGTGTTCAAATCCACTCCAGGACAGGACATTTTCCCACTGGCCTGAGCATCAAGTTCAGCCTAGTCTGCAAATATCCTGGGAAGTAAAAGTGGCCAGCATGATATTGACCATATCAACCATCAATCAGCAACTGATCTAAACAAACAAGGCCAGCAGCATATCACAGACAGAACCCACAGAATGGACAATCTCATGACTGGCCTGCTGTAACAATGATCACTTTTCTCACAGTTCACTTTCTAAGCAACTTTCTCCAAGTTGTACTATTACATTAGACTGAGCAACTTTCTCCAAGTTGTACTATTACATTACACTGAGCAACTTTCTTCAAGTTGTACTATTACATTACACAGAGCAGCTTTCTCCTAGTTTAACTATTACATTACAGTGAGCAACTTTCTCCAAGTTGTACTATTACATTACAAAGAGCAGCTTTCTCCTAGTTTAACTATTACATTACACTGAGCAACTTTCTCCAAGTTGTACTATTACATTACACTGAGCAACTTTCTCCAAGTTTAACTATTACACTACACTGAGCAACTTTCTCCAAGTTGTACTATTACATTACACTGAGCAACTTTCTCCAAGTTGTACTATTACATTACACTGAGCAACTTTCTCCAAGTTGAACTATTACATTACACTGAGCAACTTTCTCCAAGTTGAACTATTACATTACACTGAGCAACTTTCTTCAAGTTTAACTATTACATTACACTGAGCCACTTTCTCCAAGTTTATAACTATTACATTACACTGAGCAACTTTCTCCAATTTGAACTATTACATTACACTGAGCAACTTTCTCCAATTTGAACTATTACATTACACTGAGCAACTTTCTCCAAGTTGAACTATTACATTACACTGAGCAACTTTCTTCAAGTTTAACTATTACTTTACACTGAGCAACTTTCTCCAAGTCGAACTATTACATTACACAGAGCAACTTTCTCCAAGTTGAACTATTACATTACACTGAGCAACTTTCTTCAAGTTTAACTATTACTTTACACTGAGCAACTTTCTCCAAGTTTAACTATTACATTACACTGAGCAACTTCCTCCAAGTTGAACTATTACATTACACTGAGCCACTTCCTCCAAGTTGTACTATTACATTACACTGAGCAACTTCCTCCAAGTTGAACTATTACATTACACTGAGCAACTTTCTCCAAGTTGTACTATTACATTACACTGAGCAACTTTCTCCAAGTTGTACTATTACATTACACTGAGCAACTTTCTCCAAGTTGAACTATTACATTACACTGAGCAACTTCCTCCAAGTTTAACTATTACATTACACTGAGCAACTTCCTCCAAGTTTAACTATTACATTACACTGAGCAACTTTCTCCAAGTTGAACTATTACATTACACTGAGCAACTTTCTCCAAGTTGAACTATTACATTACACTGAGCAACTTTCTCCAAGTTTAACTATTACATTACAGTGAGCAACTTTCTTCAAGTTTAACTATTACATTACACTGCATTGAGCAACCTTCTCCAAGTTGAACTATTACATTACACTGAGCAACTTTTTCCTAGTTTAACTATTACATTACACTGAGCACATTCTCAAATTCATTTATAAGACTAAATCCAAACAAATTTCTGAAAGTCAGTTATGAAATTAGTCTATTAAGTATAAAAGTTTAGGGTAAAACTGACCAACTTTGTCAAAGCAGAGTAAAAAGAACTGACGAACTTTCTAAAAAGAAACTGTAAAAGTGGCCGGCTTTCTCAAATGCAAATATGAAACTGAACACCTTTTCTGAAGGCCAATCACACAACTAGTCAATATTGAAAAGTTCAATCTAAAAAGTGAATGGTTTGAAAGCTAAGTCAACAACTTACCAATCTTCTCAAAGTTGGCCTTGAGTTTGGAGAACTTCTTGTGGACTTTGTTCCAATCGACGATTCCTGGCTTGCAGATGTCGAAGAGTTGGAAGATGATCAGGCCGTCAGTCAGGTCATTGTAGATATAGTGGACAAATGGGGACACTCCCATACTGTTCATCCAGTTACGGTATGCTGGAAACACAAATATGTGACCATCAATGCTGAACAGTCCTTTAAATATGCATGCGTGTGTGTGTGTGTGTGCATGCGTGTGTGTGTGCGTGTATCAGACTGAAAGGAGAACAGAAGCTACAAGCTGAGAAGATGAACAATACTTGAAGCTTTAATCCTCTTTCAATGTATGTCACAAACAGAGAATTAAAATGTTACATGGAACTTGTTCTCATGTAGTGTTATGGTAATCCTCACATTGATGGTGGTATGGTAGTCCTCACGTTGATGGTGGTATGTAGTCCTCACGTTGATGGTGGTATGGTCGTCCCCATGTTGATGGTGGTATGGTAGTTCGCATGTTGATGGTGGTATGGTAGTCCTCATGTTGATGGTGGTATGTACTTGAAGCTTTAATCCTCTTTCAATGTATGTCACAAACAGAGAATTAAAATGTTACATGGAACTTGTTCTCATGTAGATGGTGGTATGGTAATCCTCACATTGATGGTGGTATGGTAGTCCTCACGTTGATGGTGGTATGTAGTCCTCACGTTGATGGTGGTATGTAGTCCTCGTGTTGATGGTGGTGTGGTAGTCCTCGTGTTGATGGTGGTATGGTAATCCTCACGTTGATGGTGGTATGTAGTCCTCGTGTTGATGGTGGTATTGGTAGTCCTCGTGTTGATGGTGGTGTGGTAGTTCTCACATTGGTGGTGGTATGGTAGTCCTCATGTTGATGGTGGTGTGGTAGTCCTCATATTGATGGTGGTATGTAGTCCTCACGTTGATGGTGGTATGGTCGTCCCCATGTTGATGGTGGTATGGTAGTTCGCATGTTGATGGTGGTATGGTAGTCCTCATGTTGATGGTGGTTCGTACTTGAAGCTTTAATCCTCTTTCAATGTATGTCACAAACACAGAATTACAATGTTACATGGAACTTGTTCTCATGTAGATGGTGGTATGGTAATCCTCACATTGATGGTGGTATGGTAGTCCTCACGTTGATGGTGGTATGTAGTCCTCACGTTGATAGTGGTATGTAGTCCTCGTGTTGATGGTGGTGTGGTAGTCCTCGTGTTGATGGTGGTATGGTAATCCTCACGTTGATGGTGGTATGTAGTCCTCGTGTTGATGGTGGTATTGGTAGTCCTCGTGTTGATGGTGGTGTGGTAGTTCTCACATTGGTGGTGGTATGGTAGTCCTCATGTTGATGGTGGTGTGGTAGTCCTCATATTGATGGTGGTATGGTCGTCCCCATGTTGATGGTGGTATGGTAGTTCGCATGTTGATGGTGGTATGGTAGTCCTCATGTTGATGGTGGTATGTAGTCCTCGTGTTGATGGTGGTATGGTAATCCTCACGTTGATGGTGGTATGGTAGTCCTCATGTTGATGGTGGTATGTAGTCCTCGTGTTGATGGTGGTGTGGAAGTCCTCGTGTTGATGGTGGTGTGGTAGTTCGCATGTTGATGGTGGTATGGTAGTCCTCATGTTGATGGTGGTATGTAGTCCTCGTGTTGATGGTGGTATGGTAATCCTCACGTTGATGGTGGTATGGTAGTCCTCATGTTGATGGTGGTATGTAGTCCTCGTGTTGATGGTGGTCTGGAAGTCCTCGTGTTGATGGTGGTGTGGTAGTCCTCGTGTTGATGGTGGTGTGGTAGTCCTCGTGTTGATGGTGGTGTGGTAGTCCTCGTGTTGATGGTGGTGTGGTAGTCCTCATGTTGATGGTGGTGTGGTAGTCCTCATGTTGATGGTGGTATTGGTAGTCCTCACGTTGATGGTGGTATTGGTAGTTCTCATGTTGATGTTGATGTGGTAGTCCTCATGTTGATGGTGGTGTGGTAGTTCTCATGTTGATGGTGGTGTGGTAGTTCTCATGTTGATGGTGGTGTGGTAGTCCTCTTGTTGATGGTGGTGTGGTAGTTCTCATGTTGATGGTGGTGTGGTAGTTCTCATGTTGATGGTGGTGTGGTAGTTCTCATGTTGATGGTGGTGTGGTAGTCCTCATGTTGATGGTGGTATGTAGTCCTCATGTTGATGGTGGTATGTAGTCCTCATGTTGATGGTGGTGTGGTGTTTTCATGTTGATGGTGGTATGGTAGTCCTCATGTTGATGGTGGTATTGGTAGTTCGCATGTTGATGGTGGTATGGTAGTCCTCATGTTGATGGTGGTATTGGTAGTTTGCATGTTAATTGTGGTATGGTAGTCCTCATGTTGATGGTGGTATGGTAGTCCTCATGTTGTTGGTGGTATGGTAGTCATGTTGATGGTGGTATTGGTAGTCCTCATGTTGATGGTGGTAAGGTAGTCGTCATGTTGATGGTGGTAAGGTAGTCCTCACGTTGATGGTGGTAAGGTAGTCCTCATGTTGATGGTGGTATGGTAGTTCGCATGTTGATGGTGGTATTGGTAGTCCTCATGTTGATGGTGGAATGGTAGTCCTCATGTTGATGGTGGTATGGTAGTTCGCATGTTGATGGTGGTATGGTAGTTCTTATGTTAATGGTGGTGTGATAGTTCTCATGTTGATGGTGGTATGATAGTCCTCATGTTGATGGTGGTATTGGTAGTCCTCATGTTGATGGGGGTGTGGTAGTTCTCATGTTGATGGTGGTATTGGTAGTCCTCATGTTGATGGTGGTATGGTAGTTCACATGTTGATGGTGGTATTGGTAGTCCTCATGTTGATGGTGGTAAGGTAGTCCTCATTTTGATGGTGGTATTGGTAGTCCTCATGTTGATGGTGGTATGGTAGTCCCCATGTTGATGGTGGTATGGTAGTCCTCATGTTGATGGTGGTATGGTAGTTCTCATGTTGATGGTGGTATGGTAGTCCTCATGTTGATGGTGGTATTGGTAGTTCGCATTTTGATGGTGGTATGGTAGTCAATCTTGAAATGTGAATACACAAATCAGGAAAAGCCTGAAGGCGGCAGAGATGTGAATTCTGAGACGAATGGTGATGCCATGGTAGAAATGAGTGCCTCAACATGACAGACAACAGTGGGGAAGAGACAAAGTGTTCCTGGGTTAGCTGACGAGAAGAGAACATACAGGCCACTAGAAACATGAGTGGAAGCAGACTTATAGAACATATGCAGGTTAATCTCCGACAGTGGGGGTATGGTCTCAATGCAACTGACAAGAACACCTTAAACCCAGTTCTGTAGGGGATCAGTTAAAACAATAGCCAGGCTGACCACAAACATAAGCTGCTGATTCACAACAAATCTAAATAAACAACCGCTAAAAGCTGATTCCCCCCCCCCCCCCCCCCACCAAAAAAGGGCCACTTACTTTTCTCCTCCCTGGTCTCCTCGTGAATATCCAACTCCAAGTTCTCGTCGACTCCCTCCATGGCTGGGAAGTTGTTGAAAAGATTTGCCACGAACGCCAGGTTGAGTTTAGCATTGCCCTCCACCACATCAGCTGGACCCACAAACGAGCGACAGTCTATCTTGCTGGCCTGTTGCAGCATGGCTTCCGCTCTCTGGTGTCTGTCAGAAACCTGCAGGTATACAAGATGACAGGTCAACACCTCCACTGTTATGGGCTCACACCTATCCACCTAGTGCACCTGCGTGTGTGTGTGTGTGTGTACGCACACTTTACATCTCAACTGTCACGTTTCTCTGCTATCTAGCTGGTGTGTGTGTGTGTGCATGTGTGAGTGCACACGTCAAATCTCAACTGTCATGGTGTCTCAGTGCTACCCACCTGATGCATCTCTGTGTCTGTGGGCATGTTTGTATGCATGTGTGCCTTCTATATCTCTATTGTCAATGTATATCAATGCCACCCACCCGATGCATCAACAAGTGACCCCAGTATTCTTTCTTCAACACATATAGTCCAATGGGTGGGTGTACGCATGTGTGAAACATACTGAAACTCTGTGTGTGCGTGCGCACGCATGTGTAAGGCAGGAAAGTGTGTGCATGTATATGTGCATGTGAGACAGAGAGATAGAGAAAGTGGGGGATGTGTAAGACAAGTGTTTGAGATCATGTGTGGGGGAAACAATTAAACTTTCTTTTCTATTTCATGCAAAGATAGAAAGAAAAAACAGTCCCAATAAAGAGAAAGCAATCAAGACAGCAAAACCAGGTCAACCCTTTCTACATGTCAACTGAATTAATTAATGAGTACACATGTTTGTTTAGGTAATGCTGTTTTAGTTTAGCAGTATAGTGTGGTTCAATGTACCCCACCCCTGATACGGACTGTTAATAGTCCAGTAACCCTTAACTACTGTACAACACCTATTTTTCTAATTTCCTTCCTTAAACAAATATTTTGCTTCTAGAATGAATTGTGTCCCTCAAAGTTCTGCATTTATCAACAATTTTGCTGAGACAAACACTAGCATGCCTACTGCAAGCTCCAGATATCAGGTGTGTGAAAATACACACATATTCTCGTCAATACTTCCTGGTTTTTAATGTCACTAGTGTACAGGAGGCCAGTGATTTGATCACTTCTCGGGGATGTGTCAAACTAGCGTCCAAGATCAGCAACATCATGGATCTGACAAATAAGCAACTCTGACCAGATGTCACAACTGCCAAGTTGTAACACTGAGATAGGTGGGACTGACACAAGACAAAGCCAGGCCAGCTGTCCGTCACCAGTCACAGGTGGGACTGACACAAGACAAAGCCAGGCCAGCTGTCCATCACCAGTCACAGGTGAAACAATTAACCCCAGAGCAGTCAGACAGGAAGCAATCACTCAGTGGCTGGTAGTGCCAGGACACAACCATGCAGGAATGTTTGCACCAGGAGACTGCACGACACTACCAGCCATGCTCCTAGAAGATGAGACAGACAAGAGAGGTCTGGCAGGACTGAATGCATTCCACTGAATGCATTACTCTATTCTTGTTTACTGATTACTCTTTCTACATGTCAGGAGAAAAAAATTGTTTAATAGGATAAATATTTTCAAACAATTGATTAGCTGCCTCTGAGAATTTGTGTGTGTGTGTGTGTATATGTGTGCGTGCGTGTGTTTGTGTGTGTTTTTTTTTAATCAAAGATATTCCCCAGAAATTCCCATGCGTTAATTACCAATGGTTTTTTCTTTAGCAAGTAGGATCATTGATCACTGTCTGTGGAGCAGGTCTATGGTTTCTGTGACACTATCAACTGTCATCTCTAGAAGTCATCCTGCTGAAGGTGGTGCTTTCATCTTTCTTCCTCACAAAATTAACATGGTTACCTCTCTCAACTTCTCAAGCAGAAAAGCAGACTGGTAGTTGGGTGATCAACCAGCTGCTAGGTGGATGGGTGTAAACAGATACAACTTACCCCTAATGGTGACAGGTCAACGCCCCTATCTCTGGGAGCAATCTGGTGCAGCAGGTAAGTATAAGCCTCAGAGTCCTAGCAACAGACAAAAGCATAAAGTCTTACATTCAACAGTTGTCAACGTTATCTCCCTCACCGCTTTCTCTCTCTCTGTCTGTGTGCATGGGTGTGTTGACTTCTTTATCTCCTATCTCCCCCACCCCTCTGTCTCTCTGTGTCTGTGTGCATGGGTGTGTTGACTTCTTGTACTCCTATCTTCCCCACCTCTCTCTCTGTGCATGGATGTGTTGATTTCTTGTACCTCATATCTCCCCCATCTCTCTCTCTCTCTCTCTGCATGGGTGTGTTGACTTATTGTACCTCCTATCTCCCCCACTCTCTCTCTCTCTCTCTCTCTCTCTCTCTCTCTCTCTCTCTCTCTCTCTCTCTCTCTCTCTCTCTCTCTGTGCATGGGTGTGTTAACTAATTGTACCTCCTATTTCCCCTACAACCTCTCTCTCTCTGTATCTGTGTGCATGGGTGTGTTCACTTCATGCACTTCCTATCTCCCCACAGAACAAAAACCCTCCACTCCTGTCAAGTGCTTAAAGACTTACATGTTCATGGCTGTTGCAGATTTTTCCAGAACAAGGTAACCAGCCTCACATCAACCAACCACCACAGCCTCACATCAACCAACCACAACAGCCTCACATCAACCAACCACCACAGCCTCTCATCAACCAGCCACACCAGCCTCACATCAACTAACCACACAAGCCTCTCAGACTAGTGTTGCTACCATTTCCCCTGTATGCCCAAGTCCCCACTCAGTAATGACTTGACTCAACAAGCAAGGTCAAGCATAGAGATGCAGACAGACAGACATTCACACACACACAGAGAGACAGAGTGAGAAAGAGAGAGAACATGAACGAACAAACAAACTTTATTTTCAAAGGGTCACAAGAGAGTGAGAGAGAGAGCAAGAGAGTGACACTAAAAGATTCACACAGAAGAAGAATGTCAGGAGGGAGTGGGAGATACATGAAGAAATAGATGAGTAGGACAAGGCAAGAGAGAGAATGATAGACAGCATACAGTAGCAGAAAGAGGGAATGATAATACAAACACAAGACATACAGAAGAGATATATGGAGTCACTTGTGATTTAATGTTTCTTCTTCTTCAGCGATCTCTGGTCATGCGCATAATCCACTGTGGGTCATAAACTGGGATGTCTTTTCAAGGTCTCTTAGGTTTCCCCAAAGCTTAGTTGTCAGTTCTACTGGGTGTTGCCATATGTCGCTCCGCAGCTCCGCCAGGAGAGGACAGTCTTGCAGGACATGTTCTGGAGTCTGTTCAGCACGAAGGCACTGGCAGAGAGCTGTTTGGCTCATACCTAATTTATGTGAGTGTTTATTGAGTCTGCAGTGTCCAGTGCGTAAGCGAAAAACTGTGACTTGGTCTGTTCTGTTCAAGTGTTTCAGAAAATCTTTTCCGTAGTTATAATCAGTGTTGGTTTTATTTAATGTTTAAAACAAAAGAATCTGTTACTGACCTTAATGTCCTCCGAGAAATTCTTGATGCGGAGGTCACAACCAGCGTTGCGCAGGTGATAATTCACCCACCTCAACAAAATTTGCTCTGGGCTGAGCTTCTGAAGATCCTCCAAAGTCTCGCCTTCCTCCAAAAGATGAATGAGGCCAGGGTGATGGGCCAGGTTGATGTCACTGAGTAGACCAATCTGAGAGAACAGCCATACGATAGCATCAATCTATACTGTTATAAAATCACCCACAATGTCATCAATGAAATGCCAGACTGATAAATGCCAGACTGATAACTCCACACAATAAGATACAAATGGCTCACAATGAAAACAATCCAAACATACACAAAAACAACAGGCCTTTGACTGACAGCTGTTAGTGTGTTCCCTGTATCAGCAAGTTCCGTCCTCAGGTCCAAGTCTGGCTGCAATTAACTCAAGCTCAACCAGCAGTGAACAAACCATCATCATTTACTGGAGGCTTATTGATGGCAGCCAGGGTAGCAATGATACAATTGTCTGCTGGTCAAGTGGTCATTAGTATCAATTCCTTTGTAGTTAAAAAAAAAATTGTATCTCCCCTGTTTAATTAAACCAGCCTAAAAAACATGTAAACAGGAAATTTCCACTGAAGAAAAGGCAGCCAGCATTACATTATTCAGCTTACCCATAAAATGTACACCAACCATAAATATAGAGATACGCCATACATTTTTCGTCACATGACAAGGAAAGGGGTCCTTGCTACCTCTACTTCACTACTTCACAAGGTTCAATGTTAGGACAGGCAACAGACACAACACTGGACTGCCACCGTAGCCAGCTGTCAGGTACTTACCCGAATGATCTGCCACAAGAGTCCCAGAACCAGGTGAGGTTTGCCAGCATCCAGGTCATCGGGGCCGATGTTGACCGTGGAGCAGCCGATGGCCTGGGCAGAGTTGATGGCCAAGGTCAGGTTCTCATGGCGACGATACACAGACAGATTAGTCTTGTTGATGGTCCTCTCATCAATAGTGGACGGCACAGACTTGTTGATCAGTTTACTGGTCAATGAGAGAGGGTCAGCAGAGTTATCCAAGACTGTTAATGTGTGCAACAAGCCATGAGTCATTCTAAACATGAGAGCAATTCAATGTAACTCCAATATTCATCCATGCCCAAAAAATTCAGCACTGAAATTGTTGTCAAATATTTGCCTGGAAAGTCATCATTCGTCCCTCTACCGCCGTGGCCAACGAGTCAGCTAAACGTCAGTTGGCTTAGTCTCAAACAGTGATTAAAAGTATGAGCATTAACTGCTGTTTAATACTGTCTTTCTGTTTAATTTTTATGAGTTTTTACAGTTAAATTCTTTTTAAATATAAAGTAAGAGAACATGGGTGCATGAGAGAATTCTGAGATTTGTGGAAAAAATCACTTGAATATCCAGTATTCTTTGAGGCTCATCGATATACTATGAAATGAAGTCACAACCCGAACAATGATTTCAGCAAGCAAGAAACTATGGCCAGAGTGTGCGCCAGAAAGAGACTTTGATGGTTTTCAATAACAGCCTATTGATGAAACTGTGGCTCTGGGCAAATCAATGGGATTGGAGATTGACTGTGCAGATACAGAAGAACTGGTGGAGGATCACAAAATGATTCTCACAGTCAAGAGCTACTAGTCGTCTAGAACTGAGCTTCGTGAAGAATAGGAAACTGAAGCCGTCAGAGAAATGTCATCAGGCGAGGAAAAAGATGACGGACCAGTTCCAAGTGCTGAAATTCAGGAATGGCTGTCCAATTGGATAAAAATGCAGGTTTTCATCGAGAAATAACACCTAAACATTGCTAGAGTTAAATAGCGTATCAATTTATTTCATGACAATGTGTCTGGAAACTTTTGGAAAATATTTAAACTAATTAACACAGAACAAAACAAAAGACACGGGATAACTTCTGTGAAAACAACAAATGCTGATGAATCATTATTGACGACTAGTGGCGTTGCACACAGTCATGAAAACACACAGACAATACTAGTATTAGTCACACCTGACCAGAGCCAGGTATCCGCGTGAACTTCTGAACATACAGTTTGTTGTTCATCCCTTCACCTTCTCTTCCCACTCCATCTCTTTAGCTTCTTATTTCTCTGTCCTCTTACAGTGTCCCTCTCCCTGCCCAGCTCTACCAGATCTGCCCTACGACAGATCACGTTTACCTCACAGAGAGCTAAGAAAAGATAGAGATAATCAAGGCAGATTTACCATAAGATGATTCCATTCTTGCATTTCTCAAACAGCTCATTATTCTCACTGTCTACAGGCAGCAGGGACTTGCAGTCAACATCATCCTTGAGGTTGCTGGGGAGAAGACAAATGACAAACAACGCACATTAGTTGGTCAATGACACAGGTCATCACTACACAACTGGCTCTAGTTCACTGGAGCATGAGGTACTCTTCCTGTTCCATGCATGACTGGCTTCATCTCATGTATTACTGATCACTGTGACATGTGTTGGTTCTACATTTTACCTTTTGTCAGTCCACACTAAAGAAATCAAACCACATTATTTCTGCTCTATAATCTACGATCATTTTTGACTCACATAGTTACTCTGGGAAGCTGTTTATTTGGTACAACAACAAAACTACAATATAAAAGCATTTAAATATTTTTGTTTTAAATGTCTGCCTATTTGAAGTAAGAAAAAAGTTCTTGCATCATGCTGAAACCATTTCTGACCCGTTTAAAAACCTTGCTACTGCTGTTACTCAGGTTCTCACGCATACTGATTGAGAGAACAGGTTTCAGATTTGCTCACTGATTCACATAAACCTATACCCTGTCACAGTGGATAATCGTTAATCATCCCATAGGACCACCAGATGCTAGGATTAACTATCTACTGAGAACACAACTGACATGCCTTTTGCATTGATCATGACTGGGTCAGATCCATCCATCCATCCATCCACCCACCCACCCACACACACACACAACTAAACAACTCCAACATAGCTTCTTGACTAACCCTTCCCTGCTTGCAAGAGATCACACTGACTCCCAGTCCAATCTCACTAACACGTGTACTGCATCAGATTATGGGGCACATAACCTACCCTGCCTAGCAAGCCAGCAGTGGTGTCATCAACCACCAATACACACAAAAAGAATCAATCATAAATCCAGAAAGAGGGGAAGAAATAGTGTAGCTGAAAAGCGCAAAAAGAATAATGAGTCCATCACTGAAGCCACTCAAAAAGATTAATGAGTCCATCACTGAAGCCACTCAAAAAGATTAATGAGTCCATCACTTAAGCCATACAAAAAGATTAATGAGTCCATCACTGAAGCCACTCAAAAAAGGGCAAAACAAATTCAGAAACCATGAAATTGGGCTACAACCTGGTATCAGTGAAACGACAAAACCACAACACTGGTCTACAACCCAGTATCAGTAAGATAACAAAGCCATGACAGTGGGCTACAACTTGGTATCAATGAGATGACAAAGCCATGACAGTGGGCTACAACTTGGTATCAGTGAGATGACAAAACCACAACACTGGTCTACAACCCAGTATCAGTAAGATAACAAAGCCATGACAGTGGGCTACAACTTGGTATCAATGAGATGACAAAGCCATGACAGTGGGCTACAACTTGGTATCAGTGAGATGACAAAACCATGACACTGGTCTACAACTTGGTATCAATGAGATGACAAAGCCATGACAGTGGGCTACAACTTGGTATCAATGAGATGACAAAACCATGACACTGGGACCTATTTTAAGGGAACATAGAAAAGACCCATTGCCCTATGTGGGTGTCAGGGACCCAGTTTGGGGGAGATCAAAAAGACCCATTGCCCCATGTAACCAGTATTCAATACAAGCCAACTAGTTTTAGGTGTGCTGTTGGTGAAAAAGCACAAATACTGCAGACTAGCTGTCAACCGCACAACAACATATCTTTAAAAAGCAAATTCAGAAGAAGGAGGATTAGGCAGCTGAACCTACCTGTCGATCCACTTAGCAAAGGCTATAGTCTCTGCTTTCCTCACATTATGAGTTGTGCCCTCCACAGAGGCCTGGCTGGTGCCTCCGATTGTGTTGACATCTTTCCTTGCCTGAACTGCTTTTGTAAAAGTGACACCAACATCTCGTTTGCACTTCTCGGAGGTGTACAGCTATCAACCACACAGAAATGAAACCATAATCAGACTGACTTGTTTGCAAGATGATGGAACAGTGACAAAATCACACTAAGACTCAAGAACATTATAAAACAGTCATGGAAACACATAGTCAGTCCGAATCCCCTGGTCAGGGCCACCACAGCCCACTTGTCAAGAATCTAAGTGCCCTGACCTGCAAGTAGTCCAGGCTCATGTATTTCCATGCCCAAGGGGTTTTCAAAATCCCCTGCACATCATCATACTGGTTGACTCTCTCCCCTTCTTAAAAGGACTATATTTTGGATCAGCGTCTGTGGCTTAGGCGTTGCGAACGCGCTTCGTAATGCCGGGGCGCCGGGTTTGATACCAGCTGCGCTCCTTGCGCTGGCTTCAACAGTGGTATAGAGAAGCCGACCGTCCAGAAAGCGATGCCAAACTACTGGACGTAAACTTGCCTAGAAACAACACAACAGCCAAAAAAATGCTGGGGTTGGTTTTGTAAACGTCCTCTAAAGGCTACGCAACTAACTAATGCCTCTGTGGCAAAATACACGGCAGTCACTGTAGCATGTCTGGCAGATATGGCAAGATACACGGCAGTCACTGTAGCATATCTGGCAAGATACACAGCAGTCACTGTAGCATGTCTGGCAGATATGGCAAGATACACGGCAGTCACTGTAGCATGTCTGGCAAGATACACGGCAGTCACTGTAGCATGTCTGGCAGATATGGCAAGATACACGGCAGTCACTGTAGCATGTCTGGCACATATGGCAAGATACACGGCAGTCACTGTAGCATGACTGGCACATATGGCAAGATACACCGCAGTCACTGTAGCATGTCTGGCACATATGGCAAGATACACGGCAGTCACTGTAGCATGTCTGGCACATATGGCAAGATACACGGCAGTCACTGTAGCATGTCTGGCACATATGGCAAGATACACGACAGTCACTGTAGCATGTCTGACAGATATGGCAAGATACACGGCAGTCACTGTAGCATGACTGGCACAGATGGCAAGATACACGGCAGTCACTGTAGCATGTCTGGCACATATGGCAAGATACACGGCAGTCACATGTCTGGCGGATGTGGCAAGATACACAGCAGTCACTGTAGCATGTCTGGCAGATATGGCAAGATACACGGCAGTCACTAGCATGTCTGGCACATATGGCAAGATACACAGCAGTCACTGTAGCATGACTGGCACATGGGGCAAGATACACGGAGGTCATTGTAGCATGTCTGGCCCATATGGCAAGACACACGGCGATCACTGTAGCATGTCTGGCACATATGGCAAGATATATTCTGAGCTCCAGGATCAAACCAATCCCTTCAACTGGTAGCAGCACCTGTCTGAGAAAGTCAAGGCAGATAATATGGCTGTGACTACATCACTTGTTGAGCGCTGAATGCTCCATAAAAGTATGTCTGGTATACTCTACCTCAAGTCAGGGAAATGTCAGGTACTTAAATGTAGTAGATGCAAAATGTCTCGACCAAATGACACTGGATAGTTGATGTGGTATCTCAAGTCAGGGAAATGTTGATGTACTTAAATGTAATAGATGCAAAATGTCTAGACCAAATGACACTGGATAGTTGATGTGGTATCTCAAGTCAGGGAAATGTTGATGTACTTAAATGTAATAGATGCAAAATGTCTAGACCAAATGACACTGGATAGTTGATGTGGTATCTCAAGTCAGGGAAATGTCTGGACCAAATGACACTGGATAGTTGATGTGGTATCTCAAGTCAGGGAAATGTTGATGTACTTAAATGACACTGGATAGTTGATGTGGTATCTCAAGTCAGGGAAATGTTGATGTACTTAAATGACACTGGATAGTTGATGTGGTATCTCAAGTCAGGAAAATGTTGATGTACTTAAATGTCTGGACCAAATGACACTGGATAGTTGATGTGGTATCTCAAGTTAGGGAAATGTTGATGTGGTATGGCATCAGTCACCTCACCTCTAGAACATTTCTGGTTCTAAGCAGTGCAGTAAAAGATAGTAAACTCAGGACCACATGGCCATGCACATCTCTACCATCTGAGAGACACGAACCCAGGATTTCTGTTGTAGCAGATAAGAGCACTAGACTCTCCCAACTGAACATCCCTCAACCCACCCTGTCGCTAAAGTAAACTATCAGGAACATCTCAACAATGAGGGCACAATACACAACCATGTCGTGCAACACATGTAGGTGCCCAAACAACAATGTGTCATTAGCATCTAACCCCCCTCAAAGCTCCCATCTGTTGCACAAATAGTTACCTAGTGAACAAACTGTCACTGAATAATGAGGTTTCTCAATGACTGTATAACAATGACTGTGTAAGTCCTCTAACTGTGCAGTCTACTCACCTGTCTAAATTCATTCATGTCAATGGTCCCGTTTTTGTTTGTGTCCAGGGTGGCCATGATCTGTCGCAGTTCGTAGCCTGGCAAGTTAATGCCGCAGGTCTTGAGTGCTGTGCCCAGCTCGTCCCTGGAGAGGCATCCATTGCCATCTACGTCAATCTGGAACAGAGAACACCACATGATGTATATAAAACCAGGTGTACACATTAACAAGACAACATTACATGCACTGCAGGTGCTGACATCATCAAAGGCTTAGAGTAACAAAGACACGGAGGTATTCTATTATTCTCAAAAAGTGTGTGTATCAATAAGGTGAGAGCATTTTACAGGAGGATGAATTACCATTACACACATATTTGGTTTTTTTCAACTCTGTCATGAAATACGTTGGTACAACAGAGCAACGCCAACAGACATGTTCAGGCAACATCTTTCTAATGTGCACAACAGTGCCCTCAAACTGTCCATGTGATCTAGCTGGGTCTAATGTGAACAACAGTGCCCTCAAACTGTCCATGTGATCTAGCTGGGTCTAATGTGAACAACAGTGCCCTCAAACTGTCCATGTGATCTAGCTGGGTCTAATGTGAACAACAGTGCCCTCAAACTGTCCATGTGATCTAGCTGGGTCACCAAGGTGTCCTTGACAGGGAAGTTACAGCCAGCAAGTCTAGCCAATCCAATCAAAGAGTCCATCAGTCTCTAGACATGCATCTTATCTGTCTAACTGGCTCCCTCTCCCACAAGGGTCTCCACTGTTCAATAGCTGGCTCCCTCTCACACAAGGGTCTCCACTGTTCAATAGCTGGCTCCCTCTCACACAAAGGGTCTCAATGTTCAATATGGCATTGTCTAATACAAATTTCAAGTTACAACTCTTACCCACTGATCAATTGCAACTGTGCTCTGAAAGGTGAGTGCTTAGAAGGGCCCAATGTAAGACAGGCCTGTATGCCCAATTTGTAACTATTTGAAAAAAAAAGTACTTGTACTTGTTTGGTTGTAGTACTGTTAACATGAACGTTCATGGTATTGTATTACCTGCCTATCACTGTGTTTATTCTCATGTCCTACTTTATGCAGGCTTAATGTAAGGAGTCTGGGCTCTACTTGCAGATTTGGCCGGCAAGCTGGACGGCGTCGGTCGGCTTAGTGGGAGTTATGTCCCTTCGCCAAACTCAAAACAAGTCGCGGAAAAAGTAGTCACGAATCAAACAACATCATCAAAATGGCAGTTAGACAGAGAGCTCCCACACACATAACCAACAACATTCTTGCGACGCACGACTTAGTTGCCACGGACATAACTCCTGCAGATCTGTATGCATTAATGTCTGATAAGTATGCGTGGTTGCGGTGGCTAGCTGAGCATAGTCTTATAAGGAATATGCAACTGTGCAGCTCGTGCAACCGCCTCGCCAGCACTGTAGCGACACATACGGTTGGCGTTGTCATCGCTGTGATACTCGGTGTAGCGTTCGCACGGGGTCCTCTTTCGCCAACAGCGACATGCCCACTCAGAAAATAGTCATGATGATGTACTACTGGCTCTCCGGCGTAAGTTCAACGACTGTCATGGTCTTAGAGAGACTCGCGTGCTGGTCCACCATTGTCAACTGTCTGTGTTGGCCTCCTGTTTAATTCCATCCATGTAGGTAATGAACCGCAACGGTAAGAGGACACATCCCTGTCTTGACACATGATGAGATGGGAAACCAGACTTTCATTCCTGCTGTTGTTCTTTCCGTGCACTGACTATCTTGGTAAAGAGCCATGATTTTACCCAACAGTTGATCTTGAGTACCATAATCTTCTATAGTTTGCATCTGTTGACTTGATCTATACATACAAGATGTTGACTTCTATCATATTCAATAGACTGCTCTCATATCGGCCTCAGATAATATAGCTCTTCCACTTCCTGAAACGGAACTGTCTCTTATTTAACTGGGCCTCTAGTACTGGTCAAGCTTTAAGTTCCAATATTTGTGCAAACATCTTTCTGGTATGGCTCAGGATAGAGATGCCCCTGCATGTTTAAGTCTCTTTTGTTCCCTTTATTCTCTCTACCACTTCCAGTCTTAAATGTGACTCGAGAGTCCACAGATCAGATGTGTCATAGATGTTTATGAAGTAGAACTCAAGCTTACTAACCAACAGACAAGTGATGTGTATTGGTGTGTTGTAACTGTTAACATTGTTCATCTGTTTGATATGACAGTAAAGGTTCCCTAGCCCAACACTCATTGGACAGTCACGACTGTGATAATGTGAAGCTGCCCTGCTCTACTTCTCTTTTACATCTGTTCATAATAAGACATGAGGGTGGTGTCACAATCAAGGCTGCTACTGAACTTTCAGGTGAATTCAAGGCCATGGGCTGGCGGTGTTGGAACCCAAACCTTGCCCATCAGGAGGCAGTTTTGTTTCTCAACTGATGATGACTGACAGAATGAAATAAAATGTGGCACACAGGCGCGCCTATACACACAAGGTTTGTTTCCCCTCCAAACTCCAGGTGGTTGTGTCTGATCTAGATGGAGGTAGGCAGGGGGTATATTTCAGTCTGAGACCCACATACACACGACAGAGAGTTTGACCAGGGAACACAGATGATTGTTCAGGGTCGGGTCTCATATCTTCCTGTGTGCACGACACCCATTTTCCAGAGGGTGAGCGATCCCATAGCTAGGTGGACATCTCCGTTAACTGCCACAACACAGCCGATACCCGCGCGCCAACAGGGGCACAATAACTACTGTTATAGGAACAGACAGTTTCGATTACAGGCCTACAACGGCTACCGTTATATGAACAGATAGTTACGGCGTGTTCCCAGACAAGAGACCATTCAGGTTTGCCGTGGAGAGATAAGGTCGGCTGACGGCTGGAAAGATAACTAGAGTTCAGCAAATAAAAGCGCCACAAATAAAACGGCGATAGACAGGTGAAATATGCACGCCGGGTCTATGTGAAAACATAGGCGCCAATACGGGCATAAACAATTGTGTCAAATAACCGGATTTCTAACAGTCGGTTCCTGAAACGTGCAAGTGAAACAGCTTGCTTGGCCAGTCATTGCATATCTCCGTCTATTATTGAAATCAAACATGCGGCCCGCGTGTGGCTCTTTGCAACCACATCTGCGTCCCACAATAACAATATTGCGCAATAATTTTAACTGACTGACTTGAATAAGTTGTGTGGCCCTGGAGACAACACTTATGTGAGACATGTGGCTGTCGGGATAGCCCTGGGTTTCACGTGCCAGGTTAAGATGACAACCCTAAACTGTGCCCATGGAAATACCAGGCTTCACTTAGTGGACAACTTATGTCGCTTAACAGGCCCCCCCCCCCCCGTCTCCCCGGGTTTCATCATGGAGGAGCGACAGGTTTTTTTAAATAAAGGCAAACATGTGTGCTGTAAATTACAATGTTTAAAATATGCGATGTGCGGGTGACGAAATGTTCGGCACCGGGCACCAGTGACGTTGCACCGCAAGTGCGGCTTTACGACCTGACCTCAGCCAGTTTGAGTGCGTTGTGTTAAATATGGCCTGCTTACATAACACTGCCTCTAGACGGATGTGAAATCCTAGTACAAGCTAGGCATGCCCAATGGTTTCTGAGCCTGGAGAAGGGCACGAATCCGTTGCAACAAAACCCCGCGGAATTGGTACCAAGTGGAGAAACAAGTGCTTACATCGACCTGGCCCCAACAGACGCAAGCCGTTTTCAGGAATTCTAAAACCCAAACACCAGTACCTCAGACACAGCACTCAAAGCAGTTCTCCCAGCCTTTCACAACCAGCACCACTACTACCATTTACTGGGAGACTCGTATGTCTACAGACATGTCGTCTTCCAGGAGATGCAAACAGCCTGCCGAAATATGCCCACAGACAGATTGCAGCTATGGCCCAGCACAGCACATCTATTTCTACACAGCTCGTATGTACATAATAAAGACATGTATGCACCGCACAGCACATTTATGTACCACACTGCACATCACATTTATGCACCACATAGCACAGCATTTATGCACCGCACTGCGCAGCACATTTATGCACCGCACAGCACATTTATGCACCACATAGCACAGCACATTTATGCCCAGCACAGCTATTTCTAAACAACTCACATGTACATAGTAAAGACATGTATGCACCACACAGCACATTTATACCTCACACAGCGCAGCTATGTACCGCACATAGTGTAATCCCCATGTAGTCGACTGTACCCTCAAATATTGGATAAAGTCCCCATAGAGTGGATTATACACCCAAATACAGGATGTAATAACTAAATGGTGGCTGATACCCTCAAACATGAGATAAAATCCCCAAATGGTGATTCTCACATGCTGGACAGGAGAGACAAACATGACCTCTAGTGGCTGGCAGTGTTTAGCCCCAGAGTGTCCCGTGTGTACGTGAACTGATTCTTGTGCACTTGGATATGGTAGGCCACTGACCGTGCACGCCGCTGGTCTGGCAAACCTTTCTGCCAACGATTCTCACATTAGAGTCAACGTGGTTTTTACAAACGTGAAAGCCTGGCAGACTACTCTTTGTATATTGTTTTTAAAAGGAGTAGAAAATTATAGGGAAGAGAAAAAAAGTTGGTAAGAAACAACAAATAGTTTATGTTAGCTTTACAAAATCGATCACAATAGACAAATATTGTTGCGACATCTTTGTTTCTCTGTGAATCTGGTTGCCATCAGTATCTGGGACCCAGGACCGCAAGCAAACACGGACGCTACAATGTCTGGCCTGCGTGGATAATCGATCAACGGCTAGGTTTAGTGACCATCAAGTGGACACAGACGACATGGGCGGGTGGACGATGGTAGGAACGTTTAGCTAGGCCCTGTACCATGCAGTCTCATTGTGAGTTTCAGCATGCACGTGTCTATAAATGTTCGGTGTCAGGTGGCGGGGTAAACAGGCCACTCTGGAATGTCTCACTATCTAAATACCACAATGTGGACATATTAGAGTTCGTTTACATGTCTGCGTATTTTGTCTCTCATTGTTATTCTGTTGATGAAAGCTAATCGCCACAACGTCCTGTCTGGTACTATAATTTTTAGAAGACCCCAAACAAAGGGAAACCCGGAATTCCCAATTCCTCCTTTTTTTTTAA